CTTGATGCTGCTCTGATTTTTAACTTTTCTCAATATAGATGAAAATGTGATAAGAATGCCTAAGCATCTCTAACATGGTCATCCGTAAGGGACTGTCCAAAATGGGGGGAGGTGTTTAATAACTAATTTTCATGTGAAATATGGGGTGACCATATATATATAAAAAGCAGAATTAATGAATGAAATGTGGTTTGCATTGTAAATATTGTAAGCATGGGGGTTTTGGTTGACAGGAAAAAATTAGTTCCAAAAATAACCAATAGTTGGCATTGTCATTTGAATTTCTTTTGTATGTCAATGAAAATGACTTAATATCAGGTGAATCCTAACCAAAATTTTTCAGCATGCTGAAAATTGTGATAAGAATAATAGGCCTATCTTTAGCATTAAACAATAGACAGAAATGTTATTTGGTGTGAATAAAAAAGTATGGCCTATTATAAAGCCCATTATATCCACACATGAAATATATTATAATGAAAAAGTATTAAAAATTTATGATGATAATTCAAATTTTGTGGGTTTTTGACTCTGGAGGGGCCCAGGGCTAAAGCCCTATTAATCTCTATGTAGATCTGCCCCTGTACACAATACAAATATGCTGACTGGGCACTGCAAGCTTTTGATACAATCTGGCCATGTTAAATGTTTCAAATGACATCATGCTTGCACACTTGTTTGCTGCAGCAAACCTCCACATGAGCAAGTGATCGAGTTCCCACAAGTATTGAACTGACTTAAAATGGCTAGCCGCCAATATAGAAGCAAACACAAATGATAAAAAAATTTACATGTTAGAATAAATTATTATTGGCATATTTGTTCTCATATAAAAAGTATATTGACAGTCAAAACTTTCTCTTAAGCATGCAGTGCATGCTAAGCAAGCCCAGAGAATTTGTCCATTTAATATGTTTATTAGATGAGCAAGTGGCAAGTGTCGGACATGACGACAACAACAACAGGATATAACAATCTGCAGTTGTAACCATTGTTGTTTGGCTAAAGTGCAGCACGTCTAGATGTATGGATGGAGGTTACCATATGGCAAACAGCATTTTTCAATTCTAACAATGTGGAATGACCTGATAGAAACACATGAGACTTTCAATAGGATTTCTGATTGCAAGATTATTTAAAGTCATTTTCATTGTTTGCACAAATATTCATTTTCTTTTGTATGTCAACACCATATATTGGAGATTTTTGGAATTAATTTTTTCCTGTCAACAAAAGTTTGTGAGGCAAGTATTGTCAGCACAGGGAAACCCTGTGCTGACAATACTTATCACACAAACCACATTTCGTTCCAATAATTCTTCCATTCTTTATGAATGTTTAAAGTTTTTATAGACTTTTTGCCCACCTGCATGTTTAAGAATTTTTGCTGAATTTTGATATATATTGTTTTTATTCTGCTAAATATGATGATAAGTCATTCTATTATGTGTTACATTGGCATCATACATGCTCAATCATATAAACAATCATAAAAAACTTTTTTCTGGACTAAAAAAATATGAAGAAGAAATTGTTATTAAAAAATAACATAGTTCACAACAAACATACTCTAATTTTGGTAAAATTTTAGAAATAACTACATAGCAGAAAATATTTATCTATACTAATATTATAAAAAGGTTAAGTCTGTAAGTTTGGATGTAGGAAGTAATCTCCGAAACTACTCATCCGATTTCAAAAATTCTTTCACCAATATTTAGAATGGAACTTCAGGCTGGACATAGGCTGTATATTATTCCGTTAAACATTCATATAAATTAAAAGATATCATCTAGGATTAAGACTTTTATGTCCAACAGATGGTGCTAACTTCGCCAGTACAACGACCTAAGTTTGCTTTTCTGTGAGGATGAACAAAAGCAGATCATCTATCTATATAAATAAAAATGTAATGTTCGTTTGTTCCTACTGATTCTTTTGAAATTTTGACACAACGTTACATTCGAATATGCACATGTCTTTATATAATATACAGGTCGAAATTCCTCCAACTGGGGGGTGGACAGGATTAAGGCTTACTGTGAAGAACTTGGCTTTTACTACACTATTTTAGAAGCATTTTTTGCGTTTTTGATTGCGTTTTAATAGGGTACGTCAAGAAAATGTACACTAAGAAAGGATTTTTCGAAAAATTCCCCCCCCCACAGGGGAAGTGTTATACATTTATAATACATACATTTTAAGCCACAACAACACCTGGCGGGGTCTACTAGTATTTGAATGAAATGATGGTATATCAATATATCAATGTAATTACCAAACAAACATCCAGATTCTTTATCAGGCTTTATACATATAAAGCTAAATAATTATTAAGCAATTTAGCAGGAGGTAGAGATCTGTTGTTAGATATGATTTTGAATTAATTTAAATTTAGAATATTCTGGAAGAAAAAGATCAGCCCATAACAGGACTTAAACCTGCAACTCCCTCTTAACATATAGATCAGTGGTTCTCAACCTTTGAGGCTGTGGAATACCATTCATATACTTTTTATTACATCGAGCATTAACGTCAATATATTCAAAAATTGATAAGAAGTTCAATGTTTACAATTCTCATGAAACAATGAAGCAATAAACTAATAAACTTCAATATATTGAATAAAATAAAAACATGGAATTGTCCACTGATGTACAGTACACACACTGCCAATTGCACTACATGAACCTCTGTATAATCTTTACTTCCAAGCTAATTATATATATACAGTAGAGCATCAGTTATCTGAAAGAATCCAGTTGGCAAATTTAAATTTTCACTAGTGCTGTGGTGCTGCAATCTTTGGCTATATCTTGGGCTACTCCAATATTTTTTTTGTTGGTATGTGTTTTAGCTGGCAGCACTCGCACTTTTGTGTGGTGTTTTTCTGAGCACTGCGTTTCCTGCTAAATCGAACGTTTTTGACACTAGATTAACTTCTAAAGTATAATTTTTATTTGTTTATATTTTTCAATATATTTACAGTAGATTCCCCTATAAGACAATAGATACATTCCGTTCTTTATGAATCCGATTTTGTAGGAATCACAGCCCAATACGTGTAAAGTTTATGGACTATGGCTGTTTGAAAGATTTTCTTCCATAAAATTAATCGATTCTAGACTAATCTGACTCAACATTTCCAAAATACGTATATTTTTTTTGGGAATAATCCATATAAACTACGCTATAAACAAAAAATTGTAGGATTACTTACCGAGTGTCACCATTCGACATCGCCGTTACTCAAGCTAGTTTTCGTCGCGGAACAGCGCAGCAAACCGCGGCCGCAATTTCTGATGTCATTTTTCTGCGAAAACTTTGTTGAACTTTGGAGACATCATTAATATAAATAATTTTAATCGCTGTTGAATAAGAAATGTTTCTTTCACAAGAAATGTATAAAATTACAGTACTGTATTAGACTTACAGTACCTAATTTACATACTGTACAGAGATAGAGGCGGAAGAAGAGTCCGTAGCGTGGCGCCAC